AAGAAGTTTTTTCTAATATCCAATCCAATCCAATCCAATCCGTGCCCTCTCGTCCTGTCGCTTGGTTCTTGAGAGAAGAGACGCACCCCCACCTCTCTGCAACCTCCTTTCAGGGAGTTGTAGAGAGACATTTTTTGGTCGATTTTACTGTGTTTTTATTATTTCACTGAGTAAATAGATTTTAAATACAGAATTAAACCTTTGTAAGAAAAACAACAGACCTCTCAACGGCCAACAACCTCTCCAAAAATCCCCCATGCTCTGTAGAGAATGGCACCCTGTCACCTTCTTAATCCACATGAAACTGCCTGCAGGTAATGAAGATTGCAGTGCACGCTCAGCAGCTTGCTGAAATGACTCACTTTGGGGTTTAAATACGGAGCCTTCAGTGCCGTCACGTGTGCCTGTCGCTATCTTTGCACACAGTCAACCAACAGCTGGCACGCGGGATCCACATCTGTCAAGCCAGGGTGTGCTGGTTCTACGTGGCAAGGTTCTGGTAGCAGGGGGTGCTGCAGGATGGCCTCTGTGAGAAGAGACCAGCAGCTGCCCCCCTGCCAGGCCCAGCGGATGGCGGGGGGCTTCCAAACCGACACGCCGCAGGCCCAAGCTGGGGCCATCAGCTGGTGGTGCCTCTGTGAAAACGTATTAAGAAAGGGTTAAAAATGCTGCAGGGCAGCTGTTCGAGGGTGGGAAAAGCTTGAGCGAAACAGCCCTGCACGTCAGAGGAGGAGGGGGTGGAGGAGATGGCCGGGTCAGAGGTTGCCCTGCAGCCCGCGGTGAGAGGGCAGGCTGTGTCCCTGCAGCCACGGAGGGTCCTGGGGAGCAGAGGCCCCCCCTGCAGCCCGGGGAGGGCCCCATGTCAGCGCAGGTGGATGCCAGGAAGAAGGTACAGCCCCTGGAGACCCCACCCAGAAGCAGGTTCCTGGCAGGAGCTGCAGCCTGCGTTGAGGAGCCCACTCTGGAAGAGGTTTTTTGGCAGGACCTGTGACGCTGGAGGGACCCAGACTGGAGCAGTCTGTGCCTGAAGGGCTGCACCCTGTGGAGAGGATCCACGCCAGAGCAGAGGAACCATGGAACGAGGAAGGAGCAGCAGGGTGTGGTCAGACAGACTGACCACAACCCCCATTCCCTGTCCCCCTGCACTGCTGGGGGAAGGAGGTAGAAGAGTCAGGAATGAAGGGGTGGAGTTGAGCCTGAAGAGAAGGGAGGGGAAGGTGGGTTTGGTTTTTTCATTCCTCATCAGCCTATTCAATCTTTAATTGGCAGTCAATGAAATTGATTGTCCTGAGCCTATTTGACCCGTGACAGTAATCATTAAGCCATCTCCCTGCCCTTGTCCCAACCCATGAGCTCTCCCATCTTCCTTTCTCCCCCATCCTGTGCAGGAGGGGAAGTAACAGAGTAGCTTGGTGGGTATCTGGCAGGCAACCAGCCAAGGCAAACCCTACTACCCACACAGGGAGGCAGTAACACAGGAGAGGCAGAAGGCTCCTGGTTCAGCTCCGAGAGGGAATACTGTGCCCAGGGAAGGCCCAAACCCGGAGAACAAACTGTGCCTGAGCCCTGTACCTTGCAGGTAGATGCAGCAGCACATCTGGGGGAGCAGAGCTGAGTGAGTGTTGCCTAAAGCAAACAGGTAAGGAGGAGCTGCTCTAGTGCCAAGGCTACTGATAGGACAGATGCTGCCAAGTACGTAGGAGCAGGGCTGACATTGCTGCACTGCAATAGGACGCAAGGCAGCAGACAGAGTGCAGCAAGGGAAATACAAAAAAGATGTTGGGAGAAAAAAACAGTTTCTCGTGGGAATACTCAAGCATTAGAAGAGGTAACCTGGAGAGGTCATCCAGCTTTGGGAATATTCAAAACTGGAAAAATCCCAAGCAATCTGATCCAAGTTGTTTCTGCTTTCGGTGACGGCTGGGACCTGACGACCTCCCTGGCAGCCTGCAGTACTCGCCACAGCACAAACAGGCAATGCTCTGTGCTGGTAAGACACCCAAAACCCACAGATAAGTGTTCTGTTTGCAAAGTATGCAGTCCACACATTTAAATTCATTCAAAAAAATGAAGAAATAATTTTATTGCTTTATTCAGATTTTGCCATAGCTTACGTTACTGGAAGTCCTGTTGAAGATCTATAGAGAAATCACTGACTACTATTCAGCAGAGATTGGCTGAAAACAAAGTAAAATAATAGTGGAATACAGCTTAACAATTTCTTAAGAACTAAACAGTTTTTCCTTCACCTAAGAAAAGCAATCCCCAAAAAATGAGTTTCCTGGTGTTCGGTTTGGGCCCTTTTCTTGTTGTCTTCAACAAAACTTTGAAATATTCCGTGGCTCTATGTTACATACTGCAAGAACACAGGATGGCTTTATGCGATGAAAACTTCCGAACAGTCTTCAGAGAAACCTTAAGTTCTGAGCTAGCAATGTTCTATTTTCTTGGACTTAAAAGTGCATACACATTCAAAGGTTTTACACATTTCCCAGACATCTTTTAACACACACATATATCACGTCAGGTCTTTGTGTTCTCAAAGCAGGGGGGGGGGAAGTAGTTAAAAATCACAATTCTAAGAACTGTTCCTTGGAAAGTGTACTACATGTTTTCTTCTGCGAAATCAAACCAAGACGATCTGCTGACGAGTCTCTTTGGCGAACTTACTATCGATAGTCGTCTCTCTGGACACTCTAGGAAGGAAATCTTGGGGGAAGGCAGTTGTCTGGAAGGCGCTGCTGGTGCTTCTTGAACGTAGCTTTTCACAGTTCCTGTGTGAGGGGTGTTACTGCTGGTATCTGTTACAGCAAGACTCAGATGAGCTGCTGTTTCTTTAAGTTTGGCCTCAGCATTTCTAATGTCACCATCGAAGGCTCCCTTTCTGGTAGGAATACTGTACTTTTTGGCTGCTTCTCCAGTTTCCTCACCCACTCTGTTATCATCTTCACATCCTGTCCTTCCCAGAAAAGAAGACAGAGACTCATTTTCCCTGTCATTTATCTGAGTTGTCCCTGTCCAAGTAACACTGCTGTCACATTCGGCACTTTCTGGCTCCTTGCTACTATCACTATCAATTGTAATCACCACTGGAGAAGAATGTGCGGAGTTACTCATGTGATGTTTCCGGTGTTTCTTCCTATGCTTTTTCTTTTTCTTCTTAAGATGTCTTGTTGTGTCTGTCGCTTTTCCTTCATAGACTATCTCCACGCTTGGACTCCTCATCTTTTTTTTCTTCTTCTTACGCTTTGTCTCACTGTTGGCTCGATGGTCGGAAAGACTATCTTCATTTTTGTAGCATTCACTGAATTTCGAGAAAGTTTTCTTGGGGTCATTTTCTCTTTCTAGACTTGTGCTCTCCGTGAGTGCATTCTCCAAGTGACGAGTTTTATACTTCCTTTTTCCCCCAGGCTTTTCACTTTTTGTTCTGTCAGTTCCTCCAGAAGGGGTCCTTGACCTGTCGCTTGATCGACTCCTTGACCTGCACTTTTCATAACAGTAGTAGTGTCTGTCACGCCGTCCCCTCTGGCTATGCGGATCCGTCCTTTCAACCAAGGATCGTATCCTGTATTCTGGACTAGCAGAATCCCTTGGATAGAGAGCATTAGACTGAGTCCTCCTCCTGCTGGAGGATTCATAGCCATCTCCAAATGCCTTCTGACTACAGAAAGCATAACCCCACTGGTATCTACTTTGAGAATTGTCTCTTACGGAATAACGATCACCGTCACTGCTTCTTGATCTCCTTTTGCTGTGGCCTTTGCTACATGATCGTGATCTGCTTAATTCTCTGGATGGAGTGCTCTCATGACTTAGACAGCCGCTCTGGCTTTTCAGAGACAGTCTGGTGTCATAAGCCTTCGACCCCTTGCTGCTTTTTTTGCTCCTGTGTTTACTGCTATCTCTGCTTCTTGATCGTCTCTTTTTAAGTTGGCATTTGCTATGATGCTCCCTCCTCGACCTGTGGCCATGACTGCCTCGACTGCTCCGTGAACAGGACTGTGGGCTCCTGGACTTTCGCTTTCTAGACAACCTGTGATTCCAAGGAGAACAGATGGTGTCACTCCCCGGAGAGGGTCTCCAGCTCAAGTCCTGAGGAGACAGATCTTTCACGTTACATTTGTTCTTCTCATGATCTTTTGACTCTGTCTGCTGAACTGCAGAAGATATACAGCTTCTACAACTACCTAGATCTTCCTTAGATGTGGGGGAACGTGGTGAAAAACTCCTGCTTGGTTCACTATCACTCCAGCTGCGACACTGGGTTGGCTGTTGTTTCTTCACATCTTCTCTTTTCTCTTCCCCGATCGACTCCTCAGAGTCTGAGGACAGCTCAACCACTTCTGGTGTTCTCTCAGCTAATGGCTTAACATACCCAACAATAACACAGTTGTCCAAGGAATTGTCACCGTCATTTGAATCAGCATTAGCATGTAGCTGAGTCTGCAATTTGGTTCTTACACTCTTTGCAGCAAAGTCCTCATCAGAACTTCCCAATGTCTCCAGAGGAGAAGCTATGGTTTCAGGAACATCTGAAATGGAGTAGGAAGGCCTTGGAGTTTCATCATCCCAGGGGGCCTGACCAAGACCAGTTACAGACAAACTGTTACCTGGCCCTTGAAAACATGCCGTATCTGGAGATATTGTGATAATTGAGGAGTCTGAGCGGCTTCCTTCACCATAAGATGGCGTAGGACAGTCATAATTGGTGTGTTGATCATATGCGTCTAAGTTAAAAGGACAACGGGCAAAACTGATAAATTCATGTAAGAAGTGTTCAGTCCGATTCAGCAAAAATGGCTTTAAATCATCAGCAAAGGCCTGACTTTCAATATCATACCTAGTCATATTACTCATGATAATGTGCTGGACAAGATTAACCAAAGATGCACGAGCACCAAAGAGGACTGTAAGTTCTCTCCTCAACCAAGGAGCCAATCTGTGAAGGCAAGCGGGGTTGCGGCGGAAAAACTCTGCTGAAATGTCTCGATAGCGGCCACCATCCTGAATACTACGGATACGCACGCCCGTACGGTAGAGAGCTCTGCGGAAGTTGATCATGTCCTCCTCCTCAATCTGCCACAGAGATCTGCCCTCTGCACTGGCCTGTCTCCTTGAGGCCAGGCTCTGTATCATCCGCTGAAGCTCTCCTTCTCTCTGCCGCACTGGTTCGCTCGACAGTCCTTCAAACAACAGCCCATCATCTGGAGGGATCACCATCCTTCGGGAAGGGGAACTAACACTGCGGCGTTCCCCTGTTAAGGTGGTTCGGTAACGAAATCTCCGGCCGTCAGGGCTGGCAAACGAGCTATTTTGTGAAGGGCTGAGTACGTACTCCTTAAAGTCATCTTCAGCACGGATTGTATGGAAAATGGAAAAAAAGGGTTGCTTGCAGAGAGGGCATTCTGCTTTGTTTTTTGACCACTCCTGGACACAGCGGAAACAAAACCTATGCAAGCAGCGATCAAGATAGGCAACGTTGTCAAATGCATCCAAGCAGATGGGACATCTAGAGTCAGGAGATGCATCCGTTGACAGCTTGCTACTGCTGGCTTTTGGTGAAAAGGTGCTATCTTCTGGAAACTCCTTATCTGCCGATGTCATGTTCTACAAAAGACAGAGACAAAAGATTACTGCTCTCTCAAAGAGACAAAAATGTTAAAGTCTAGGCACAGAAACGCGTTACAGTTGCCTTTAAGATTGCACTGGCACAGAGAGAACACCCAATAAACAGGCAGCGTGACCCAACTACTTTGCTTGGCTTCTCTTCTCAGTAAGACCACAGAATGAATGGTCGGGGTTGGAAGGGACCATGGGAGATCCTCCAGTCCAACCCCCTGCCAGGGCAGGTTCACCCAGAGCAGGTTGGACAGGAACGCATCCAGATGGGGTTTAACTATTTCCAGAGAAGTGCTCTGAGCTCTACCGTTCAGCCAGTTTTTGATCCACCTCCCTGCCCACTCCTCTGACCCACACTTCCTAAGCCTACCTATAAGGATAGTTTTTGGACATTGTCAAAATCTGACTCTTCAGTGTTGAAGTCGGCGTGAGACAAACGACACACAAGGTGTTTGGTGAACGTCTCAACTTTATTCACTATCTGACTCCAGTTATACCCTAGATAATTAGCTCATACATATTGCAAAACCAAACTCATTATTGGCTGCACACCTTTTCAGGGTACAGCCTCTTGTTGCCCATTCTTGCAGTTTCTGGCTGGCTCGGGGTCCGTCTTGCAGTGTCTGGCTGCTCCGGGTCCCGTCTTTCACATCCTGTTGTTTTGCTGGGCTAAGTCACAAGACTTGCTGCCGACCACCAAGGACACCCTGTCCTTGAGTCCAGTACCTTTCCACTCAGGGCCTAACGAGCCTGTCTTTGTGGGGCTCATGACCGCGCTCTATGAGCCATGTTTCAGCAATACTCTCCACACTTCCCCCGTTTTCTTTAGATACAACTACATAACTTTGCATTATATTATGTAACATTTTACTCAACATAGCTTGCAAGACTTTAAACATACATGGAATAATTAACAACAAGGCCATCAACACCACCAACACTGTCAGACCTTGTTTTACAATTTCCACCATCCAAGGCCCCAAACCCAGCCTGGCCAACCAGCCTCTTAAAGGATCTTTTTGCAGGCTAAAGTCTTTCAGGTGTTTTTGCATCTCTGCAATTTGTCGGTGGATAGAGACTGAGTGATCTGATAGATTCATGCAACACATGCCTTCAAAGTCCTGACAACCATGGCCCTGAGCTAATAATAAAAAATCAATGGCAGCTCTGTTTTGTAATACAGCATGTCTAATAGTATCGACATCATGTGCCAATTCAGATAAAACTTGTGAGGTTAAGTTTGTTTCTCTCTGGACCCAACAAGCCATTCTTTGGACAAGCTGTAAGGCTTTCTTTGGTTTTTCTAACTGATAACCTCTGTAGTTGTTTTTGGCATTGGCTTTGGTCAATCTCATTTTGATTTTGTTGTGACCCGTTACACCTTATTGCTATGATTTGAATTCCTCGTAATATTCTTATCCGATCACTAATATTTTTGAATCTCCACCTCCAAAACGCCAAAGCCTTTTGTTCTATATTCTCATATATTTGCAGTGCCTGCCTCACTTCTACGCCTGTCTGACTTTCCAATTCAAATTGCCACGTTTCTATAAACACTTTATAGTAACATTTTCGACACCAAAGGGCTTGTAAATAAGGTTGCTCTAAAT